TCATACAAACAAAAAGCCTCTCTGTCTAAAAGAAATATTCCACAACAAATTTTAACGGTGAGCATGCTTTCGTTCAATAGAAGAGTCTTCTCTAGTAAGTCATCTATTTAAAAAGTAATTTAATACCGTACTCTTTTGACGGATGTCCACTTACTGCGCCTTTTTACATTATAAAGACAGGGAATGTCGGTATTTTATCCGTTTTTTCATTTTCTTCAAAAATGCTAATAGTTTCTCTGTCGCAAACGGAAGAACTTACTTCTTTCTTTATATTTCAGACATTTTGCTGTATTTTCGAAACGTGTGCTCCGTTTTGCGATTATGGATGCGCAGCAGAGTGACCATATACATGCTGAAATATTGCCCAACATGCCTACGTTTTGCTCGTCCCCTTTCTAAATCACGTGTAGGCATAAACTAAACCGCACGTAATTGTCTTTCCATATGTCCACAGTTTGGGAGGACAGTTACGGCAGGGTGACGGACGCCGCTTAACTGTCGGTATGCTTTGGATCGTGTCGTACGGCATGGTGGTCTTGCGGGGTTTTGCGGTTGGTGCGGCACGCCGGATAGTAAGTTGACGGAATGCAGGAAGACGCAGAAGACGGGCGGTCGCACTATCGATATTTTCGAGTAAAATGATGAATTTATGCAAATATGGTATCCAGCTAGACATTCCATGACGATGCATCTTGGAAGAGTGCCTGGCCATCGAATAACTGAGCCTATCCCCTGACAGAAGTTTCTGTTATCCCAAAAACCCATGCTCAGTTAATCTCTGTTTTTTTGTTTCTCCACTCTTGGTTGCAACTGCCAGACATTAGTGCTTGACTAGATTTCGCAAGTACACACATCAGCACACGATCCATATTCTACCGACAGCTAATTGAGGTTCCTCTGGTGGTTCCACATAATGTCTTCACAAATGGCAGGACAGTATCTGCACGATTAAACGAAGACTCACCTGTAGGCGCTTTTACTGCAATCTGAGGCTCCAAATCACACAGACTTGCGAATAGGACTTCTAGAACGATAAAACGTCTGGTTTTCTAAGAAAATAATCTAGATAATCGCAACCACTATCTCGAAGTTTTCCGCAGACAAAAAATCGATTTGCAAGTGGGGCAAGTCTTGTTTTGGAAAACTCTGAGCTAAATTAATCTTCTATAAAAGAAAAACAACCTCGGATGCACGAGCTAAATCATAGGAAAGTTGTCCGAATAGAGGGTAACGTAGATTTCTGCTCATATTTGTAAACATTTCGACTGATAAAAGAACATATAAATATATTCCGAATGTAAAAAGGACATTTTCCAGGAGGTTGCTAGGCGAATGAGCGAAATGCTCAAAGTTCCAAATGCCTTAAGTGGATAATTTCAATTTTCGTCATCGCGTTACATGAGTTAGGTCACATGCTGTACTTAAAACCAGTCAAATCTGTAGATGTCACTTATTAATACTGATTGTTAACTCTACCTCCCAGCATTCGCTAGCATGGATTGGGTGTGGGTTCGAATCCCACCGAGGCGCCGAGTTTTCCACAGTTGGGTCAATATAAATTATTCGAAATCTGCCAAAATATCTATGAATTACGTAAGCCTGGTGGACATCTGGTGGATTCTAGGTGAATTACTGAGGAAATCCTGCTTGGTCAGTCAACTTACTGTATCAGATTTGGTGGATTCCAGACGTTGCAGTAGGTTGGGCGGGTAACTTGATCCAAATGTGATTAAACTCGTATCGTCCGGCGGGGCCTCATAGCTCAAGTGGTTGGAGCGTTGGCTGTACTAAAGCCTTCCCCTTACTGCGTGGGTTCGAATCCCACCGAGGCGCCGAGTTTTTCACAGATGGGTCAATATGAATTACTGAGTCTGTAGAAGTGACGTTGTGGCAGGCGGCAGGTGCTGAAGTCCACCAGTCTTGCGCCATCGCTGATGGCCTAGCTATATGAGGTTAATGAACAAGTATGGCGGACTTGGTGGATCGTATCTCCTCGTATCGCTCCTAAAGAATGGCATAGGTGGCTGCCGCGGCTGGAACCCGCACCTAGGCGTACCACAACACTGTGGCAGTCCGCGCTTCCTTGTTCTGCGCCACTTTGTCTATCTGCCCTTCTGTCCACCTCATACTCTCTGTCGATTCGCTGCTGGGACCATGCGAGGCTTGTCATTAGACTCGTGAGTGTGCAAAGCCAATCACTGCTGCCCCTTCTCTGATTAGGCGGCGGACGCTAAGTGGGACAGAGTGAAGGGCGCAAATACGCGCCGGGACCATTAACCTCAATGGCGGACACGGAGAAGACAACTGGCATGGAGAGACAGCTCGCGGTAACTGTACGCTCTTACACGTCGGTAAAGATTGTCCAATGCAATCCGTCTTCCCTGACTGCTGATTTGGGAATCTTTGTGTTGTCAATCATATCATTTCGACAACACTCTCCGGTCCACAACGTACACTGACCAGGATTTCATAACATATTACATACTATAACCATATAGATTATTTTGCCGACTCCAGAAAGTGAAGGACGTTCACCAAGGGTTATCTGGTCGTAGTGATGACTTCAACGCACAAAAACTTTAAAAACCTATCCAGAGGGCGATGCCATGGACACTCACCTTGTTAATAGCACGTACGGTGGCCTTATCTACGAAAAGACGACCGAAGTGGGATGCTGACGGAGAGCGCTTCATTTGTCTTCTCAGTTCTTTAGACCAATCTTTCGTCAAAGGGTCTGGCCAACCAGTCAGTTAATCTGTATTTCCTGTTCTCCATTTCGTCGCGCTCCAGGCCTGGAAGCTTCGCGTTCTCCCCATCACATAGAGAACGTTGCCTATGACATAGTGGCTTGTTTTATGAAAGGACGTTCTAATGCAAATGGCAGCCCTACCAAAGTTGAGAAATATTTTGTCGACCACCAAGGGACTTGGTAAAAGGGTGCGTAGAGGTAGGATTGCCCGCAATGCTTGAGTTCGAGCTCGAACTCCAGGTTGACCGAATCCGGAGTTGAGACACGGCCAATCAGTCAGAAATGGTCATTCTAGTCTCCTCCGCACTGTTGATACTTGATCTTGCCTCATAGATGCTCACTTTGCGACGACCTGCGAACACTCTAGATCGAATTCGAACGCAGAGCGTGACGAGTGTTCCTTAATATAAATAAATTTATTAACGACCGTCCTAGTCTCTATTGCCCCTGCGCCTATCCTGAACAGTTAAATGGGCCGCCACGGAATCGGTAGCATCGTCCCAGTTGTTGATATTTTTGACATCACCGTTTTAAGCGTGTCCTATGAGTACTTGTAGTGGAAGAACGAGAGACTGTCAATCAAGGTCCTTGTCGAGCGATTGTTGTACGTTCCTACGTATGTTGTCCCTTTTTGACATCTTTTACCATATACTTTAAATTTTTTGTTTGCCTCGGAAAATTATGGCCTTTCGTTTTCCTCCAACCCTCGTACTATTTGTTTGAATCTCCCGTTTTCTTCCCGCGCAACTGGAGACTGCCCGTCTGACTATACGTCGCATCGTTCTGACTGTACGCCTGGAGATATTTGGTTGTAAGTGTAACATTCAAATCTTGCTAATCATGCCAATTATAGAACCGTGTTTCCGTACAATTCTGCACTTATTTACACCGTTTCCACGTACGGACTGCACGAAGTAAGCCGGCTCAGGCGACTGAATCTAGACAGGCTAGAAAACAGCTAGGTTCAACAGAATATGTGTGAGTAACGCGAACGGACCAACAGTTGGCGGTCGAACGTACTCCACAATCGTGTTGACTAAGTATCCGCACTGCGATGTGTCCACAAATTCCAAAAAGGCACCAGTCGAGTAGCCAATCATCTGATAGCTAAGAGTAGTTACGACGGTTCATCGCGGCCGAGTTTACAGATCACACACAGTATTTGATCAGATACAAATAAACATAAGACAAGTGATGATGAAGCAGGAAGTTGTAACTTGACCATCATTTGATCGTCAGAAATCTTTCCTATTAATCTGCTCTTTGTCCGCCATCTTACTCGTAAGTTGGGATGCCGAATTGGAGGTTGTACTCTAAGCCGGATATTTCGAAGTGTGACTGCGCGGTCCACCATCCCACCTCCAGTACTTGTTCGTGCATCCGTGATGGTGGTCGTCTGTCCGCCATTCCATAAGAAGTTGCGGGTCAACTGCAACAAGCGATGTTGTGAACTACCGCACTACAGCCGATCGCTCAGTTTGTCTAGTGGGGGACGGATCGCCGCCGCAGACCGGTGGCCAGGTGCAGGTGTTCCTTCGATGAAGTGCTTATGACCCATCTGGTAAACCGTAGCGGTGGACCAGATGCGTCAGGTGCGTCTGAGGGCATGTTTGTGTTTCCGGTCCCAGCTGGTGGTCAGGGTTATGGTTGGCTGAATGAAGGCAAACAAGCCCGAAACAGTGCTGTATCAATCTACCCCCCAGACTCTGTCGTATCCGCTCTGCTATCATAGCTTGCCCGACTTCGGCCTGGTAGGTGGTTGCCTGTTCGTGACCCCTATCGCCCATACGAAGCTTGTTTGCTTCGGGAAGCCAATGGATCGGTGTGCGCCCACTCCTGTGTGAAGATATATATATATATGTAGCTCAGAGGGGGTATGCATTCCGAGTAGATATAATGAAAAAATAGAAGAGGTTCTTCGGAAAAGTCGAGTTTTACTCGTGAATTTTCGAGCTGGTGACACCAACCCGTCGTCAGACGTAATGAAAACGAGGGAGAAAGTTATGTTGTCACAGTGGACCAGATAGTGTGATAGGACAGAACAGACCACTGACGTGTGAGGGGGGGGGTGGGATGGGCTCCCGAGGTCATGGTAGGTCACTGAGTGGGGGACGGGGAAGGGAGACGAGGCGGAACAATTACGGCGCAACAACAAAATCTACCGGCCGAAGAAGTGCAAGCATTACGATCATTGAAGTCGGATCACAGTATTGTCGTCGTTTCCGCTGACAAGGGTTGCGCTACTGTCATCATGGACAAAGTTGAATATGTTAACAAGGCGAATGAAATCTTCAGTGACATGGAGGCCTATACACTTCTTGCTGAAGATCCGACTAAAAAGCAAGCTGCAGCCATCAAAAAGAGGGTTAATGAGCTCGCTCGTTTGAAAGTTATCAGTCCAGATGACTCCAAGTTGATGACCCTCAGTGATCCCCACATCGCACACGCGTACGGCCTCCCAAAAGTGCACAAAGTGGATGTCCCCCTGAGGATTATAGTGCCACTTATCGGATCACCCACTTACAATATAGCTAAGTGGTTATACAGTCGTCTGAAGCGGCTCACTCATGGATCGGATTATAGCATTAACAACTCTCAAGCGTTCCTCCGCAGGGTACAAGGCCTCAAAGTAAGTACCGATGAATGCTTCCTGTCCTTTGACGTCGTTGCCTTGTTTTATTCCATACAACATGATTTGGCGATTGAATGCGTAACCCAACGCCTACAGAGCAATCCTATTGAGATCCCAACGCAGCATGTTTTAGAACTGCTAAATCTTTGCCTTAGGAACTATTGTCAATTTGATAATAGTACTACCAACAGGTAAAGGGAACCCCGATGGGCTCACCAATATCAGGACTGCTCGCCGAACTAGTTTTTCAGCGACTAGAAGAGATAGTTTTCCAAACTATCAAGCCTAAACTATGGCTTCGTTATGTTGATGACACCTTCGTCATAATAAAGAAGTGCGAAGTCGAACGGCTTCACCAGAGCCTGAATGACGTTTTCCCAGCCATACAGTTTACCCGCGAAGAGGCAATTGGAGACAGCTTGCCGTTTCTGGACGTGAGGATATAGAAGTTGAGCGATGGTAGCCTGGCAACAAGCGTCCATAGGAAAGACTCTAACTCTGAGATTATCCTCAACTATGGAAGCAACCACCCTGCAGCTCACAAAAGAAGCTGCGTCCGAACTCTGTTCCACCGGGCCTACCGTTATTGTAACAGCAATGATCTCCTGAAAAAAGAGCTTGCTCACCTGTATCGGTTATTCCGCTCTAACGGATATCCGATCAGTTTTGTAAAGAACTGTCTCAGGCAGCAGACACAGTCGCAAGACGCCACCCCCAACGAAGAGATTGTGACGCCAAAATTATTCTCCTTGCCATATATGCGTGGAACTTCTGAAATAATCGCCCGGCAGTTCAGCCGCTTGGGTATTCACGTTGCCCACAAACCGTCATCTTCACTACGTGCAGCACTATCTCGAGTGAAGGATCCCATCCCGAAAGAGCAACAAACGAATGTAATTTATCGCATCCCGTGTGCCAATTGCTCTTGCGTGTATGTTGGCCATACATGTCGATGCCTGGGCACCCGTATCAACGAACACAAACTAGCTATCTGTCGGCGAGACCCCCTGTCCCTCGTCTTTGCCCATGCACTCGAGTACGACCACCGATTCAATTGGGATGGCACTGAGGTCGTCGCCATGGCTAACACAAAGCGAGCGAGGGAATTTCTCGAGGCTTGGTACTCCAATGCGGGTAGTATCAACCGTCACATTGATTTAGACGCCCATTACGAGGGTCTACGTTCACGAATGACTGCCCCCTGCCCTAATCACGCATCAACGACCGCGAATGCAGCCGCCCGCATTCCAACTGATTCACCACCCACCCTCCCCCTCCAGCACGGTGCGCTGTAATTGTTCCGTCTCGTCTCACTTCCCCGTCCCCCACTCAGTGACCTACCATGACCTCGGGAGCCCACCCCACCCCCCCCTCACACGTCAGTGGTCTGTTCTGTCCTATCACACTATCTGGTCCACTGTGACAACATAACTTTCTCCCTCGTTTTCATTACGTCTGACGACGGGTTGGTGTCACCAGCTCGAAAATTCACGAGTAAAACTCGACTTTTCCGAAGAACCTCTTCTATTTTTTCATATATATATATATATATATATATATATATATATATATATATCACGTTCATCATCCCCAAAAGAAGACGAAGAAGAAAAAGAGGCGATGCCATGGACCACACTGTATTGGTGCTGACGTTTCGGAATCTTCCTCGATTCCATCATCAGAGTAGTGGTAGGGTGTTTGTTCCTGCTAGCTCAGAGTTGTTCTGTCTCGCCGCCTGTCTCGTGTTATAGGCATGCCTGCTACATGAACTCTGACCTGCCTGCTGGCGGGGGATTGGCTTAGGTCTCTCCGTGGCCGACCGCTGGGGCGCTGGTGTGACCTCTGCCCCCTGCCCGGCCGCTGTTGTCGCTGCTAGGTCCGTGTGCCCTTGGGCCCTCCCCCCATAATTTGACGGGCTGATCAGCTGCCGTTGCATGTGGGAATCGGGGTCGGCTGTTTGGGCGCGTCGGTGGGTCGATATCTCGCGTCGGTCGTCTGACACCCGGCTGGCTCTCTCCCCCTGCTGGGAAAGTGACAACTGTTGAGAGAGCCACGATTTGTTTGCCAGTGCTGTCGGCCCCGTCCGAGCTGACTGGAGCCTCGGTCAATAGTCACCGCACACGATCTGCAAATGTTGGAATCGACAATACTCAGCAATGCACGTTGCCACCGCAGGTTGCGCGACAACCAATTGCTAGAGAAGTTCGAAAGAATACGTCCACAAATGGAGCCCTTTACTGACGGTGTCCTGGTTCACAACCTCTCGTCTCGTCGCCTCACATAACAACAGCTGGAGGTTTTATCCTATGACGCCAAGTTCAACACCAGAGATGCTCGACCGGAAGATTTCATCGCATCCTTCGAGTCTGCCCTTCAAAAGTGTGAAGCCAACGAGGAGTACAAAAATTCCATGCGGCAGCAAGTGTCCACTCTTCTCCTCCAGCACAAACCTCAAAGGGTGATTTCCGAAGCAGAAGACCGAGAACTTCTGAGAATGCGGAAGATGAGGGATATCGTCACCCTGCCCGCCGACAAGGGACGCTCGACGGTTGTCATGGGCAAAACCGAGTACACGACGAAACTGGAAGGTCTGTTGGAGGACGAAGTTGCCTATAAGCTTTCGGAGACTGGAGAGTTCAAGAAGCACGTGAACAGTGTAAACAAGGCGATAGACAAGTTAAGGAAGGCAGGAGCCCTCAAGAGGCAGGAAGCACTGGCCGTAAAAGCCACCGATGCCGCCATGGCGCGCTTCTACGGTCTGCCAAAAGTGCATAAACCGGGAGTACCTCTACGCCCCATAGTCTCATTACGCGGCACCCCGACCTTTGGACTGTCGAAATGGCTTTACCAACGATTCCGTTTCCTGACCGGGGATTCCGAATGGACGGTGAAATCGGCTGAGCAGTTTTTGAGGAGTATCAGACATCTAGAAATAGAGCCAGACGAGATGATGGTATCGTTTGATGTGGTCTCCTTATTCACCTCCATTCCAAAGGACCTTGCCATCAGCACCATTAACGAGCTTCTTCAGGAGAAGTACGATGAAACTGATCAACGGCTTAAACGACCGCACGTCATCGAACTCCTGGAATTGTGCCTCAGAACTTTCTTCACTTTCAACAACCGGGTTTACGAACAAAAGAAGGGAACACCCATGGGCTCCCCGCTGTCTGGACTGATTGCCGAGGCTGTTCTACAGAGGCTCGAGCGACTGGTCTTCCGTTCGTACTCCCCAAAATTCTGGGCCAGATACGTCGACGACACATTTGTCGTAATCAAGAGGAAGGACGTTCAGGACTTCAAAGTGTTGTTGAACTCAATATTCCCCGACATCCAATTCACAATGGAAGAGGAGTACAACAACCAGTTGCCCTTCCTTGACGTACACATCACAAGAATGGCTAATGGGGGGATCAGAACTACGGTATACCGAAAGGCAACGAATACCAGACGCATCCTCCAATTCCGGAGTAACCACCCCATCGGTCACAAACGCAGTTGTGTCAGAGCTCTTTTCCAACGAGTTCAAACACACTGTAATGACAACGACGGGAGAAGGGAGGAAGTGAAGTACCTGCATTCCCTATTCACAGCCAATGGTTACCCACGATCCTTCATACGTGAGTGCCGAAGAGGATTAAACTGCGAACGATCTAACGATGAGAAGCCGAAGTTCTGGCTCGCAATCCCCTACATGAGGAATGTTTCTGAGGCGACAGCAAGAATCCTGAGCCCTTTTGGGATTGGGGTGGCCCATAAACCGGAATCCACCATCAGGCAGCAGATAATGAGGCCCAAAGACCAGCTACCTGCAACGGAACAATCAGCAGTGGTCTACAGCATACCTTGCCAAGATTGCGGTGCAAGGTATGTTGGTGAAACGGGCAAACGCCTCTGCACAAGATTGCACGAGCACCAGCTTGCAGTCAACCGCGAGGATAAGCTGTCACTGGTATATGGCCACATACAACAGGAGAAGCACAGTTTCGCCTTTGGGGAGGCGAGCGTCATCGGCCGAGCGAGCGACAAGATGGCCAGACTGGTTCTCGAAAGTTGGTCCTCAGTTGACACAATAAACAGAGCCATTGATCTTCATCCGGCCTACCAGGCCCTTCGTACGAGGCTCCAGTCAGCTCGGACGGGGCCGACAGCACTGGCAAACAAATCGTGGCTCTCTCAACAGTTGTCACTTTCCCAGCAGGGGGAGAGAGCCAGCCGGGTGTCAGACGACCGACGCGAGATATCGACCCACCGACGCGCCCAAACAGCCGACCCCGATTCCCACATGCAACGGCAGCTGATCAGCCCGTCAAATTATGGGGGGAGGGCCCAAGGGCACACGGACCTAGCAGCGACAACAGCGGCCGGGCAGGGGGCAGAGGTCACACCAGCGCCCCAGCGGTCGGCCACGGAGAGACCTAAGCCAATCCCCCGCCAGCAGGCAGGTCAGAGTTCATGTAGCAGGCATGCCTATAACACGAGACAGGCGGCGAGACAGAACAACTCTGAGCTAGCAGGAACAAACACCCTACCACTACTCTGATGATGGAATCGAGGAAGATTCCGAAACGTCAGCACCAATACAGTGTGGTCCATGGCATCGCCTCTTTTTCTTCTTCGTCTTCTTTTGGGGATGATGAACGTGATAATCTATCTGGACCTCGAATCTTCACTCATGTTGATATATATATATATATATATATATGAATTGAAACGCAGGCATTCCAATAAATATAAATTGAAATCAAAAACGTTCTTTGGGAAAGGGGGAAAACTTTATTGGGTAAATTTTCGACGTCGGTTCCCCGTGTCGTCGTCAGACTAGAGTAAATGTGCTGAAAACAATTAAAATTTCAATCGTGCTACAAAATCAATACTCATTTGGTGCCTCAGCTAGTAAGCTGCCGTCGTATGTGGCAGTCCGTATTGATCGGCTTTCGTCTCTTCCACTTTTCTCTGAGATTCTTGTACGTGGCATCTAACTCGATATGCCTGTTGATGCATGACTCATCGGAGTGCATGGCTTCAAGAAACTCTCGGCCTTTTTTAGATGGGCAAACTCCGATAGTTCAAATCAAGCGCCCAAAGCAAACACTTGGCGAATCCTTCCTTACATCAGGAATGTGTCTGAAATTGTTGAAAGACACTTGAGGAAACACCAGATAAAAGTGGCGCACAAGCCGACGACTACTTTACGCACCCAGCTTGTACACCCTAAGGATAGGGTTGGCTATCTCAATAAAAAAGAAGTCGTCTATAAGATCCCATGCGAAGCCTGTGATGCCGTATATTGTGGCCACACGGGAAAATGTGCCTCTACACGCATCCACGAACATCAACTTGCAGTTAAGAGGCGAGACCACTTGTCTCAAATGGCCATGCACACTCTTGATACTGGGCACAATTTCGCATGGGACAAAACTCGCATCGTCGGAGTTTGCCCATCTAAAAAAGGCCGAGAGTTTCTTGAAGCCATGCACTCCGATGAGTCATGCATCAACAGGCATATCGAGTTAGATGCCACGTACAAGAATCTCAGAGAAAAGTGGAAGAGACGAAAGCCGATCAATACGGACTGCCACATACGACGGCAGCTTACTAGCTGAGGCACCAAATGAGTATTGATTTTGTAGCACGTTTGAAATTTTAATTGTTTTCAGCACATTTACTCTAGTCTGACGACGACACGGGGAACCGACGTCGAAAATTCACCCAATAAAGTTTTCTCCCTTTCCCAAAGAACGTTTTTGATTTCAATATATATATATATTTCGAAGAAGAATGAGTCCTTTTGGAAAATGAACAAACTTTATTTCGTAAATTTTCGAGTCTGGTTCCCCAGCTCGTCTTCAGACGTGTAGTAAGTGTGAAGAAACAGTCAAAATTTAAACAATGCCGAAAAAAATCGATATTGCTCTGTCATGACTGAGGATGGGTTAATGCTGTGGGCTGATGTCACGTCTTGATTGGCTATTACCTTTTCCATTTTTCTTTGAGACTTGTGTACATGGTATCAAGGTCGATGCGTCGATTGATGCATGAATCATCAGAGTGAATGGCCTCTAGGAATTCTCGGCCTTTCTGATATGGGCAGGAACCGACAATGCGTGTTTTATCCCAAGCGAATTTGTGCCCAGTTTCAAGAGTATGCATGGCGACTTGGGATAAGTGGTCCCGCCTCTTCACTGCCAATTGGTGTTCATGTAGGCGTGTAGAGGCGGATTTTCCGGTTTGACCACAATACACTGCATTACAAGTGCTACATGGAATCTAATAGACTACTTCTTTCTTATCCAAATAGCCAACCCTATCCTTAGGGTGTACAAGCTGATTGCGTAGCGTGATAGTCAGTTTGTGAACCACTTGTATTTGGTGCTTCCTCAGGTGTCTTTCAACGACTTTAGACACATTTTTAATGTAGGGAAGCGTTCGCCAATGTTTTGGTTTTGGCGTCTGATCGGAACAATCTAGTTCTTTCTCTCTTTCTTTTGATTCCTGATCTTTCATGCATCTACGTACAAAATCTCTGGGGTAGCCGTTTTGGGAAAATAGGTTGAATAGATAATTGAGTTCTTCTTTGTAACCTTCGTTCTCAGAGCAATGTGTCTTTGCTCGATTAAGTAGGGTCTTAACAGCACTCCGTTTGTGAGCCATAGGGTGGTTGCTCTCGTAATCTAGGATAACTTCCGCGTAAGTTTCTTTGCGGTATACTGATGTCTGGAATGTCTCGTCAGTTTTTCGCTGTACGAGGACATCAAGAAATAGGAGTTTGCTGTTAGCTTCTCTTTCGAGCGTGAACGTAATTCCCGGTAGTGTTGAGTTGATAGCTTTATGCAGAGTTTCTAGCTGATCTCTCTTGACGATGACAAAGGTGTCATCGACGTAGCGTACCCACAATTTGGGATTAACTAATGGTAAGGCCATAGCCTCTAATTTTTGCATTGTGACTTCAGTCAAAAATCCCGAAATAGGTGACCCCATAGGAGCCCCTTTCAGCTTTCGATAACATTCATGTGCGAACGAGAAGTTCGTTTCCAGACATAGGTCCAAGAGTTCAAGCAAATCAGATGCAGGAACATCCATGTCGTAGGACTGTAAGAGTTCTTCTGTGCACTGCCTTGCCAAATCGAGTGGTATGGACGTGAATAGAGAGACGACATCGAACGACACCATTATCTCATCTGATTCAATAGTGAGTCCTCTTATCTTGTCTAGGAATTCAACTGAATTCTCGATTGAAGTCTCACAATCTTTTGTTAAGGGATGGAGTTTGTGGAATAGCCATTTAGAGATTTTGTAATTCGGTGCACCGATTAGTGATACTATCGGTCGCAACGGTACGTCAGGTTTGTGGACTTTCGATAGTCCATCGATTTTAGCGATTGTTGGTTCAGTTTGTCTCAGGGATTTCGCGATTTCTCCTGGTAGTTGTTTCTTTCCTGCAAGACGTTTCAGCACTTTATCAATGGATGAAATTTGTGCTTTGGTAGGGTCAATGGTGAGGGGCATATAAGTTGACCTATCTTCTAACAACGATAGCATCTTGTTATTGTAGACTGCTTTGTTTAAAATTGCCGTTGAGCTTCCTTTGTCTGCAGGAAGAATGACAATGTTCTTGTCAGTTTTCAGGGTTTTTAACGCAAGAAAATTGGAAAAGCTAATAGCCAATCAAGACGTGACATCAGCCCACAGCATTAACCCATCCTCAGTCATGACAGAGCAATATCGATTTTTTTCGGCATTGTTTAAATTTTGACTGTTTCTTCACACTTACTACACGTCTGAAGACGAGCTGGGGAACCAGACTCGAAAATTTACGAAATAAAGTTTGTTCATTTTCCCAAAGGACTCATTCTTCTTCGAATTATGTTTCTTGGGATGCTCATCTTCCAATATATATAAATATATATATTGAAAATAAGTAAGATTCTTTCGGAAGATAATAAACCTTAATGCGTGAATTTTCGTGTCTGGTTCCCCAGCTCGTCGTCAGACTTTTGGGGTTTTCCGTGAGTTATGGGTAATCCCCGAAAGTACTGCAGCGATTGCGCTGAAATTTTGACACAACACAGCCAGCGCATAGGGCTGGGTTTTTTCTGCTTACCTTCATGATTATGCAGATGGTACGCCTGTGATGGGTAAAAAACCGGATTTTTTTCCGGCATAACAACGCCACCTGCCGTGGCCACTTGACCCGCCTCCACTCGGACACAAGTGCGCCCCACAAGGAGCCACTTACCCGACATCCGCTCAAACGCACGGGCTCAGCCGGACGGGCGCGCTCACCCCACCACCCACC